GCTCGCCGTTCGATGCTTCCTGTCGGGCACGACTTTTGATGCCGTGGGCGCGCCTTTTGAGGGCGCGACTTTTGAGGGCTCGGTATATATATCCCTGTATATATATTTGGGCAGCCTATCTACACCTTCATACAGTGTCCTCTACAACGTTATGACACCACCATACAGTGTCCTCTACACCGTTATGACACCACCATACAGTGCCTTCATCTACAACGGTCCGGCATGACCACATAAAACTGTACCGACATTGATTCCGATTAGCTTTTCCAACGGTCCGGCATGACCCCATAAACTGTCCCGACATTGATTCCGGTTAGCTTCTCCATCGGTCCGGTGTGACCTCGTCATCTGTCCAGACATTAGCTGCTACAACGGTCTGACACGACCATACAGTGTCTCCTATCCTCTTTTATTTTATGTATTTTCTTATTTTGTTACTCTCTCCAAACTCAAGTTGGTTAGTTCCTATCCTCCTTGAGTTTGCGGGGGGCTGTTAAAACCTATCACCTACTCCACCTACTACACCTACCACCACCTACTCCACTACACCTACATCTCCTATATAAGGAGCCCCTCACATTTGTAATTTACAACATACAACAATCAATAATACATCAATAGATACATTATTCTCTGTATTTCTCTCTTTATACATTGAATTTTAACAAGGGGGAGGGGGGTTGCTATGTTATGCTTCTTGGACAAAAACTGTGTGGATTGTAATTGCAAGTCATCTTAAATATTTTAATTTTTTGATTTGAAAATGCCCCACGGACAAAAACTGTGTGGAGTGTAATTACAAGTCATCATAAATATTTTAATTTTTTAATTTGTAAAAACCCCACTACTGTGAAGCTAATCAACAACTAAAACTATTGTTCCAATCTTAATATGTTATCTTATAGTTTATTCCAATCTAAAATTTAATCCAATTGATTTTATGCTGGCCTGACAGAGCAAATAAAATTGGACCGTTATTTGCATCCCCATTTCTGATATTACATGAGGGAGGTTAGGACCGTGGTTTATTCCCAATTCTTAGAATCCTATAAGGGTGTCACACTTGAGGCAATGGCAAAAGCATTTGGAGTAACAGTGGAGTTCATTGATTTGTAAGTGATCTCATTTTCCTAGATACACTCACTCATGCTTTTGATCTTTTATGTAAGATAGTTATCGATTTTTGGTGTGAACCATTGGTGTTTAATTGAGTTCCATGTTTGCACCAGGGAACTGTCACGTTTTATTGTCGCAGTTTACAACAGTAACAAAGTTTGTTTATTTTGGATACAAATATTTGAATACATTTGACTTGCTCATAGATAACTTTGTTCGTTGTCTCATCTGAGTATAACAGAAGAAAAAAAGTTTGTTGCTTATGTGGGCAGGGATCTGTTGTTGAATAATGTTACTATCAACTATTTTGCAGGGTGAGAATGATTTTGCTATCTACATTAATTTTATTTTATTATTGGATTCTAAGTTATTTTGCTCAAACTTGCAATGTTGAACATTAAAACTGTCAATGTAAAAGCTTATTTATGTTTGACATAAAAACTGTCACAAATTTGCCACAAAGGGTATTGAAACTTAGTTTTTTTTTTTTTTGGTTTTCTTTTTTACTAATATCAACTTCTTTATGTTGCCTTTCAGATTGAACTGAAGACTGCACCAGCTGATTTTTTATTTCCTACAACTAATTAGACCAGACACTGTTTCACTCGCTACATTGAGTTTCACAGACACACTTTTTTTAGTATTATAGCATTTTGAGGCATTCATGAATGAATGGGCTCTATATGAAGAGTTTTAAACATCTTACCAACTTATTGTAGAACTAAGTAATTGTCCTTTTCTTTTTTCTTTTTTTATTCTTCAATCAAAAACTGCAGGTGCTTAGCAGCAAAAAGAGAGGAGTCTAGTGAATGTCAAAGATTTGCCAAATATTACTGGTCCCCTTGCCTAGGTGAATGGGTAAGTGCCATTGCTGTTAAAATAACTTTTTTCTTGGTTTGTTTTGACTTGGCAATTTCTTCTAATATATTTGGATGCATTATGGCAGATAGGCTTAATGAGTTATATTTTGTCCTGTTTGCACAGATGATGAACTGACTACAATTATACCAAATTAATCAATTTCACTTTTATGCTTCTTGATTACTTAATATACTAATACTATGTGGTTTGGCATTTTTATTTTATAGTTTAGAGTATGTGCTTATATGTTACACCAAGTCTTGATGAATCAGTTTTCTAGATAGAATAGCTACTTTATTTATTTATTTATTTATTTTATTATTATTTTTTTGAAAGGATTGAAGTGCTAGTTAAATTTGAGTTATGATCAAATTCTTTAGTTCAAATGATGTGTGATCCATAGAATCAAGAAATGCTTTTAGTGCACACACATATATTTTAAGGCTAGTGATGCTTTGTGAGAAAATGTTGAGCAACTAAAAAATAACATATTGATAAAATGAGTTACAAATTGGTTTGGTGTGATTTGGTTCTTTGTTCCCATAGTTCATCCTGGCTCAGAATATTGGTTAACCAACTTCCTTAGGTTTAGGCCAGGATTGGGAATGAACTTAAAAATTGAACCAATTTGAGACTTCAACAATCCTACTCGCGAAAACAAAGGCAGACTTTCACTTATAAACAAGTTTATAGTTATCTTACTATATGAGACTTTCTTTTTTGGTGCCCCACTCAGAGAGAGTCCTATATTGCTCAAGAAGCAGAAAAGTTTCCCACTAACTTATGTAATGGCATCCTCAATGTCTCTATCTTTCCACATATTGGGTTATTGAATTGGGCTGTTGGCTTAGTGAGCTTAACTACTGACACTTGATGATGGTATTTTTGGCATGGAAGAGATGCTTATCTTCTGAAGACGGCTAGGAATAAATGGAGTTCCCAAGAAGTTTTTGAGTTTATGAATAAGAATTTTACACTAGTCTGATTTGTGTATGGGTGCAAGCACACAAGATACACATACATGGAGACCAAAGAAAAAGACGGAACAAAAAGAAAAAAAACAATTTAGATAGCATAGTTGTTTAGAAATAGGTCTCTTGATTGTAGTTTGCCTTATTTAGAATTTGTTTTGCCTCAGTCATAAGCTTTGGTTTTCATTGATATAAATGTGGGATTGGCTATGGCTTAATTTTCAAAGTCACAATATTAGTCATTTAGTGATCATTGTGAAGACTTGCTTGAGCATGATAATCAAGGCTGAGAAATAATCTTTACCATGAAGTAGATTAATTCCACCTCTTCCCCTTTTAAATTTGATTTTTCTCTTAAGCCTCTTATGGCTTGAAGATTTAGTAGCAAACTATTGAGATCTTGAATTTTTGCTAATTTTTCATTATGGCATTGATTTTATGGGGCCATTGAATTATCTTATTAAATTTGAAAATGTTTTGTTGATGTTTTAAAATTTCTTGATCATTTCTTAATATCTCAAGAAATATTTTTGTCCCTGGGTTGTTGGTTTTTGTACTTATGTGAAGTTTCCTTTGTCATGCAGACAAGAAATGCAACAAGATTAGTTGCTCCTGTAATGCCCCGACCCTTTACACGTCATCGATATTGTCCGCTTTGGGCCACGCCCGCACGGATTTGTTCTTCCCAGTGGGTCACCCATCCTAGAACAACTCCAGCCTAAGCACGCTTAACTGGGGAGTTCTAATAGAGATTTCACCACTTGGGAAAAGGCCTCGATGTTAGATAAGGGTCCAGGTTTTTACTTTTATAGCCCAGAAACTCCCCCTCCATTCCCGATGTGGGACACCGGGTCCTTACAATCCACCCCCCATAAGGCTGCACGTCCCCGTGCAGTAGCCTGCCAGCTCGCAAGCCCGCCCACATGTACCAAGAGACGCTAGGGGCCCACACTCGGTACTCCGGAGAGTCGGCTCTGATACCATTTGTAATGCCCCGACCCTTTACACGTCATCGATATTGTCCGCTTTGGGCCACGCCCGCACGGATTTGTTCTTCCCAGTGGGTCACCCATCCTAGAACTACTCCAGCCTAAGCACGCTTAACTGGGGAGTTCTAATAGAGATTTCACCACTTGGGAAAAGGCCTCGATATTATATAAGGGTCCAGGTTTTTACTTTTATAGCCCAGAAACTCCCCCTCCATTCCCGATGTGGGACACCGGGTCCGTATAGCTCCAGCTATTGTCGCGGGTTTAGGTGCCTTAACACATACATTAGGCACCCTCGTCCCTGTGATAGGAGCAAGTGGATTTGCTATAACTGCAGCTGCAACTGTTATAGGAATTATTGTCGGTAATTTTAGATAATCTCTTAATAGTTGTCGATATGTTTAGAAAGTTAGATATGCATAGTTTTGAATGGTTTAAACTTTTTATACAGTTTAGAACTTAAGGATATAGTTTTTGAATGTTTGGAATGTATAGACAATTGTTAAATGTTTATAATTTATGGATATAGTTTCTTTTTGAAGTTTCAAATAATATTTTGATGGTTGATTGATATTTTATGATGCTTGTTTGTAATATTTGTTAGATTGTACAAAATTGGTCAAATAGAACTTGCTAAATTTAAAAATAAAAAAATAAAAAAACTGCATATTCTATGGCACATATTTTACGGCGCGCAATCAACGTCGTTATTTGTCTCACCAATTAATGGCGTGCAAAAGTAGTCGTAAAAAAAGTAACGACGACGCATAAAATCTGCCGTTAAATAGTATTTAATGGCGTACTCTAGCATGTCGTAGAAAAAGTAATAACGATGTACAAAATCTGTCATTAAATAGTTTTTAACGATGTACAAAGCATGTCGTTGAAAGTAAACGACTTTTCATGACTGGTCATAATATGACGCACGCTGCACGTCGTAGAAGGGTTTTTACGGCGAGCATTGCACGCCGTAAAAACTTTTTTTTGTTGTAGTGCCGAAAATCATATACAACGCCATGCATTTTAGTAATTCAACAACTATTTTGATTAGTTTCACGTGTGATAACTAAACTACCATTACCATTTGACCAAAAAACATATCTATACTCACCAAGCCTATGTTTGACACACACACAGGTGCAATATTGTCTTGTGCTTGAAATTGAGAAGGCTAATTACAGAACACCAACACAGCCTGTTGATGTTTCTGCCTTATAACAGGCTGCATTTATATTAGGAAACAAGAATTACCTACAGAAATTGCAGTAGTGCTTCTCTAGTACCTAAAACAAATCAAAAAACAATAATTTAGAAGGATATATATTGTTTATAGCTCTAGACATTAAAAAATTATTATATTTGAGTTTATGTTTATCTTAAAGGCATAGGTTAAATATAGGGTAAACCTCTTTAAATTATAACTCATTTAGACTTTTCCTTTTTGAATTTCAAAACTCAACAGTTAATCATCTAGAACTATTATGTTGCTAAACTTGACACTTTTCATTAGAATTCTATTACAGATTTAAATGGAATCAAGTCATATGCGAAGCATGTATAATACTCGTTATTGATCTTTAATAATACTATTTTCTGGTGATCTATGAGATCACTAGATAAGTGCATTATTACCTTAACGATTCAATAAATCTATCATGTACTTTACATATGATCTGATTTTGTATAAATCTCTAACAAAATCTTAACAAAAAAGGTTAACTATAACAAGATAATACTTTAAGATGATTAACGAATGAGTTTTAAAATTTAGAAGGACAAAATGCAAATGGATCATAGTTTAAGGGGGTTTACTCTAATTTAGCCTTAGATATTATGATATATTTCATGTCGTGTATTTGTCAATGTGACAATTTTTTGTCCAATTTTTGAAAAAGTTAACTTTACGAATAAACTTTTTTTATAAAGTAGAAGAAAAAAAAAAAAAAAAACAGCAAAGTATAATTTACCCTAATCTTAGTTAATGGTTCAATTCTTGCAATATCGGTGATAATGGACGAGTGAAAGTTTGATAAAAGCTAAAGACATGTCTGATCATATTGGATGACCGTAAATTATACTTGTTATGGCTGAATTTGTTCTTAAAAAAATACTTATAAATTGCTGATAAACTTTACAGATATTAACTTATAAAATGATAAATTTTTATATCAATAAGTAATTAATTTTTAACTTTAACACTGAACAAAGAGACCAAAGAGCACTATTTACACGAAAACGCAGGTAGTTGTCAAAGGCGTCCACTTATAATCTACTTTGACATATGTTGCTGAACCCTTTGTAGAGACTTGGACATATTTAGACATTTCATTACTCCCTCTTGTTGTTTCAGAAAGCTGATACATGCCAACAGTGACGTAAAATTGTACGCCACTTTCATATAAACCTGAGCGGACAATGCAAAATTTTTTACCCTTCAAAGGCACTATAATGTTTACCGTTTCATGCTCTACATTCCCAGATGGAGACACAACTCCACGTACTTCATAACTTTGCAATCCCCTCTTGTCTATGTCGAAATGGTAGGCCGCAAGAGCAAATTCTTTCGGCGAGGAGAAACCATACCATAAATCATCAAGTAACTTGGCCTCATCGATGAAGGGTAACATTTTCATTTCCTCACCACCCAATGAATCCATATCCATCCAATAATCTTTCTCACTACTCTCAGCACCCAACGTGTTCATTTTCTCATCACCCAATGAACCCATATTTATCCCATCATCTTTTTCACCACGCGATGATGTCCAATTATTTTCCTTGACATGATAGGTAAAAATTCCTTTACGGGTTGAAAAAATAAGTAAATTCTCGACGATGGCATATGAGAGGACCTCATACTTATGCTGCTGCCCTTCACTAGCAAAGGGAAACTGATCGAGAACAGTCCAAGACTTGTCGCAAGACTCACTTTTAGGCTCAAATTTCTCAAGATCACGCGAGGCAAGGTTAGAGCTAAGGACATAAAATATATCACCTATAGGACCCAATACTATTGGCCTGAATTTTGCCCCTTTCATAGGAGGTCCATCATTAACATCATTCTTGGGGTTGTTGGTGTCAAAGACACAGCAACGCTTAGATAATTTTCCTCGTTTTATTCGGGAAAAGGCTTCACCCCCAAACATATAAATTTTTCCATCAAAATGGACAAAACTCATAAAGTCTGGATAGGATTCGTACGGTAACTCGAGCAGAGGTTCAGGTAACGCTAGAAGATCCTTCCTTTCCTGGCTGGAAGACTCCCCCTCAGAGCTCAAATTCAAGTCAGAAAGTTTAATCCTATGGAAGGAATGACTGTACTTCCCTACATTGTACATGAAGATCAAGTAGAGGTAAACTTCTGCTTCGGACATCTGAGAGCAACTCCACTTTTTATTTTTGAACGGCGAGCAACCCCACTTCATGTTTAGTTAGGCCTAAAAAATATCCTGAGAAACCCAGCAACAACCAAAGTTAAACATCCGCTCATGATGTGATTATGTAAAAAGTCTATACACATATATCTAGATACTAAAAATAAAAATAATTAAAAATAAAGAGCAAGATCCAAAAAAGTTCATTCAAGAGGTAATAATTACACCCCCAGTGATAAAAACATATATATTCATAAAAAAAAAAAGAGGGCGTTATATGTATTGTTTTTATAAAATATATTTATATATGTGGTAGTTATTTAATAACATAAAATATATATATATATATATATATCATATTTATTTAGGTTGAATTTATATTGTATTTGTATTATATAATATAATAACTATTAGGATTTATCACAAGTGTTTGGGTTATATAACAAGTGTTTAGGTTATATTATAAACTTAAGGAAAAAGAGAAGTAGAGAGAGAGAGAGATTAATCACAAAATAGAGATGCAGCGAGAGAGAGGGGACTGGCGTGGAAAGAGAAGAAAAAAAGAAAAAGAAAAAAGAAAAAAAAAATTAGGGTTTTGTTTTGGGAGCTCCATTAATTCTTCAAATATTTCTTGGATCTTCAAAAAAATAGAGTGAGTACAAAACCCATTTTCCTTGATTTATGTTTAATTCACTGTTTTATTTATTCATTTATTTTTATTTGTTTGATGTTAGTTTGATTTTGTTTTACATAAAGATAATAGATTAATTTTAATTATTTTGATTAGTTGTAGA